CTGAGGACATTTCTCTAGGGATGTGGCAGCCTTTCCTATTTGACTCCTAATCCTCATCTCATGCCACAGACATTTGATCCTGGGAAGAGATGTCCTGGGGAGAGAGAAAGTATTTCCATGTTAACCATGCCGACCCTATTTAGGCAAAGACCAAAGTGTAGGCGCACAGTTAAAAGGGGAAATACATGGATATTTATTTATATGGACCAAGGGGAGCGGGGTAGTAAAAGCTCTTAGATAATACACAGAAACTAGTAAGATAATAATCATATGCAGCAAGAAAGGGAGCTGGGCAGGGGCCATTCCAACATCTCTAAGATCAACCTGCCACACAGCTGTTTAAGCACTATGCTGTTTGCTAAGCTGTTTTGTGTATGTTGATTCTCTCTCTCTTCTAGAGTGGAAGCTCCTGAGAACCGAGCCTTATTTCCTATTGCTTCAGTTTCCTCCTCAGTGCTCAGTCCAAGGCAAAGCTTTAATACATAAATTGTATTAAATTCACAAAGCAAAGATGACAGCAGAAAGTCACCTTGACATAATGTCACTGTATCTTAAGTATATGATGAAATCTTTTTAAAAACATTATAACCAGCATTCTATGCTGATAAGGTGAATGTTGAAATTCACTGTAAATCATGTATTTCATCATGTACAAGTAATCACATACAAGTATAATCATGTATTTTAGGGTAATCATACTTCCTCAACATCTCTTTTCTTTTAAATTACATGTACTATGCTAAGAGCCAAAGTAACTTCGTGGCTCATAGATTTGATTTAAAAAGTAAATAAATTTTAAAAAGTAAATGTTTGACAGAGTAACAAAAACATAAAATTATGAACTAGAATTAACACAATTGTAGGGACGAGTTAACATCCTCATACCCATTATACCAGAGTTTCTGTAATTATGAAAGAAAATATTTCCAGATGTTGTTATATGAATTACATGATGCAGAATATAATAAAGGAGAAAGCTGTATCTCTATTCACTACTCATTTTAAATTTAATTTTACTCTACAGTGATAACTAAAAAAGGAATGCCAAATATTTATGCCAAAAAGAAAACTCTATTCAAACATAAATAGCACTTTTTTTATTTTTATTCCATAGCTAATACAGAAAGTCAATAAAAATGTGAAGGAACGTGGTATTTACCTTGTAATTAAAAGTCAAAATATATAAAAAATGTCAGTGAGGGAGTGGTGCCCCCAAGTGGTGTAATGATAAATCACAATGCACTGATGGAAAATAAACTAACTGTTCCATTTTGTCAAGTTCTTTGATTAATCTAAAAATGCATATGATATGAACCTATATTTCATAGGGGCTAATAATAAGTATCCTATAGATCATCTTGGACTCGTGGTCGACCTTAGTCACTCCTTTAATAGGGAATACCAAGGGACAGTCTGGTATGTAAAGGTATGATACCATTTCTCACCTCAAAAGGTTAGGGTTGTGTCTGCAAAACAATAAAGGGAGTGTTAGATCTACTCTGATCTATTAAGGGAACAGCATTAATAACATTGTAGAAACAATTTTTTAAAAGAATTTATTTTCTACCCATCTGTAACATTAACCAATTCCCTGTGTTTATGGCCTAGTAGCATGTAAGACAGAATTTAAAACCTTACCCAACCAGCCCCTCCTGTGTGGCTCGATGGATTGAGCATCATCCCATGGACTGAGACATCCTGGTTCGATTCCTGGTCAGGGCACATGCCCCGGTTTCGGGCTTGATCCCCAGTAGGGGGCATGCAGGAGGCAGCTGATCAATGTTTCTCTCTCCCTTCCTCTCTCCAAATAATCAATAAAAACATATTTAAATAATAAAATAAAACCTTACCCAACCAAATTGCTTAGAGAATGGGAGGTGCTAATGAATGCTTTTCTCATAAGCTGAAGGTTCAACTGTTAACACTCCAGGAGAAGAATCTAAAAAAATAAGAGTTATGTTTCCCTGTCTCCATACGTGTATTAAACATAACAATTGCTGAGGAGCTGCTATCTCATACAGCTAAAGGTCAACATTCTGAGGAACAACTCCTTTTGAACAGTTATAGGGCTACAAAGAATACCAAATTTTTATAAAATCTCCAGAAAGTTCCTTAAAGTTTTAAAACTCGCATGTTTGAAATCAGATTTCTTTGAGAGATTTTTCTCTCTTAAAAGTGGAGTGCAAAGGAAAAACTTTGATTTAATAGAGAGTTCCAATTATAGTTATTGGGTGGTGATTAGATAAAGTTTTATTAGGCTTCCTTTAATTATTCTTTTTTTTTAAGTTTTTTTTTTTCCCCCTTTATTGATTTTTAGAGGGAGAGGAAGTGAGAGGGAGAGAAAGATAGAAACATTGATGAGAGAGAACATTGATTGGCTGCCTCCTGCATGCCCCCCCACTGGGGATCTGGCCCACAACCTGGGCATGTTTCCTGGCTGGGAATCAAACTGGCGACCTTTGGTGCATGGGTAGTCACTCAACCACTGAGCCATAGCAGCTGGATCTTTAATTATTCTTAATTTGGATTATTATAAATAAGATGAATCTCAACTGTTATTGAGTAATAATTATATGTAAGACAATGTGATATCCATATTTTATTTACATTTTATAGATATACTTACAAATACATGTATATTTATTCATAAATAAATATATCTCATATTCATTCATATTATATACTTTATTATATAATATTTTTTATTGATACCATATACATATATAGATATCTATTTAACTTATATTGCAATCCTACAAACTATTATACCCACTTACTGACAAGAAAACTAAGGCTCAGCTTAGGAACCTGCACAACTTTGACCTCACAGTTGAGAACAGGACTGGCTTTGCTTCTTGACCTGCTCACCTCCAAAGCCTGCGGTCTTAACTGTGGCACATACTGCCTTCCTTCTAGTATTCTAGGATTTTCTGAGCAGCCATATTCATGACTTTAGTAGAGAGTTCGAAAATTAAATGTCCACGAAGGTAAGGCAGGTTGTGAAAAGGTGTGACACAGTTGGGTGAAAGAGACCAGGAGGAATGGCAAGAATGTGGCTAATTGGAGAGCACAGGATCTGTCTTAGGGGCCAGCTGCTCCCCAGCTCCAGCCCATACTGGCTACATAGGCAGGGGTGCTGGCAGATGTTAGCAAATCTTTTGATATTTTTCAAAAGATAAAAAGTTCAATTTTTATGAGAGCTGCCCATTTTTAAATACTGGCAACTAATTTAAATGAAAAAAAGAAGCACTATGCACGCCAAACAACACATCTGAAGGCTGAATGTGGCCGATATGTAATATATTGTACACATTCTGATGACGAATCATTCCTTTCTGAGAGAGTCTAGACTAGACCTTCTGGTATCAAATGATTTGTCAAGTATCCTCAGTACTGGATTCATTCCACACACCTAGGCTTTGTCTACCATCTTCAGTTCAAGTCACATGTTTTAAGACTAGTTTAGGTATAGGAAAGGTCACTAAAAAATCCTTTCCAATCAATCTCTCTCTCTCTCTCTCTCTCTCTCTCTCTCTCTCTCTCTCTCTCTCTCTCTCCCTGTGTGTGTGTGTGTGTGTGTGTGTGTGTGTGTCTCCACACACACATTACACTCACCCATCATTTGAAGTCTGTAGCTTTCAAGTCTGGTCTTCATACATCTTACTTTATATCTCTCTAATCAATTTTATAGGCCTTCCTGTAAATTCTTTTAAATTTCTTCATATTCCTCAGTAGTTGAATAAACCAAACTTGGATATGAACTTCTTTACAGTGTGGTTTTATAAGTCCTGGGTCAGATTAGGGTCTTACTTTCAATATTTTCATAAAGATTCTGTAGTAAGTTTCAGAAATGTATCATCCTGTTCTAAATGGCTGGAAGAGAACCTCTAGGATTTAAAAGGAAAAATATTCTTTTTGGTAGGAGTCTTAAAGCATGTTTTAAGGACATCAGAAGAATACCAGCACTGTCACCATTCTTCATGCCGGAATTCACTGAAAAGTATGAATTCTAGATCATTTTAAAAATTCTGGACATGGAGACCATTTGAAAGGTTGACTTTTAAAATAAAGAACTAGCATCAGTAACATTTACCTTTGTAATTCCTATGAAATACTAAGAACTAGGAAATTGTTTATCACACTGATTTTAAACCCACACTTAAATATTCAAAGGGCAAAAGCTGAAAGAATCTAGAGTAGCTTCAAAATAGATTATGGGATGGGAATGTGTTAAAGGCTGATTTCTTAGATCATTCTTCCTTCTGCTTTCTCTTCCTCCTGTATTTCTGGTGCACAAGTTTCTTATCCTAACTTCAGTTCCAACTAACTTTTCATTGCAGCAAATTCAAACAACTTTAAGCTAAAATGAAGATTCATCTTTATTTGTATGAGACGTACTATTCGACAGCATTAAGAATTTTTCTCTACTATGGAAGTTTATAGGGCCTGACCAAATCAAAGAAGAAGAATTTAACATGATGTTCATCAACATAGGCTAATTTTAGATGGGAGACCTTGTTTGGTTTAAAGATATAATCTGAGGTCTGTATAACTACAGACTTCAAAAAACTCCTCCATAGAGAAAAAGCAAAGAAAATGCCATAGTTCCTTTCGCACACCCTGGTCACCTCAAATGTAAATTTCCACGTATGTAACATTTGTAAGACTGCAGACATTATAAACAATGCTTATCCTATCATTCAAGAAGTCCCCATCAAGTTAAGCTGAAGCAATGTTGTAATTGAGATTCTGGAATGCATAAAATGTTATTTTCACATAATCTATCTCATTTCCTTTCCCTAAGTCATTTAGGTACTTCACTCACCTGCTGAAATGCATTTAAAAACCTTATCTGAAGACACCATTCAAGGAGCTATTCTATCTCTTACTAAATTCTTTGACGCAAAGAGCAAAGTGAGGGTTATTCCATGTTTTTAATCAGCTAAAAGTTGCACATGTGGGCATCCAAGTCATGATTTGTAGGAAGTACTTTTACTTACAATTCCTCTCCTTGTTTGGCTTTCTTGTCTAAAACCAGATAGACAGTTCCAAAACTTCCACTGCCAAGTTTCTGCTGAAGAACATACCTTCTTGCAATCAAGGTCTTTGGATAAGTGGAAATGGCTATTGATCCACTCACATATTTAGCAGCCTCTTGGAATTTCAGCATTGCTCCAAACATGAGAGAACCAACCGGTTTCTTTGTTTATAGAAATGTAACATTCAAGTCTCCTAGGAGGTAGTTAAATTCATCCAAGTGGTGTCGGTCAATGCCTTAAAGATGAAAAGTCCAGAGATCAGGTCTAAGGGATCTTGAACTATTCCTAACAAAAAGTGTAAGTTTTTGGCAGTGACATCTGCACCTTGATTAGTGGATTGCATGATGCCATGGTGGTTAACTTTAACAACATGAAAGAAAAATGATACAAGGTGGAGATACTGAAGATGCCAATAGAAGGCAGTCTTTTACAGAAAGAGAGCCTTCCCTCATACATGCACATTTGGCAAAACTGAGTTACAGTCATTTTTCCCCAAAGTTCTGAGATGTACATTTATTTTCCGATCAACAATCTTTTAAAAATATATACTCCCCACCTGCTTTTTTATAAACATGCAAATATAAGAACATTATCATTTACTTAGATCTGTATATTTGCATCAATATTTTTGTAAGTCTTTCTTCTGATTGGATATCTATTTTGATTAGAACAAAAATATAACTCAATTTGTTATACTGAGTTAAGATGAAACCAGAAATGAGCATGATGCTCTGGTTTCTTTAGACTTTTTTACTGCTGTAGACTTTAAACCATGGTATTTGCATTTCTTAGACTAGATATGAAAAGGGATAAAGATTCAGAATGAATTTTTTCCCATCCTAAGAAAATTCTGATCCAGTTTCTAAAGCTTCAATTATATATACTATGTATAATTTTCCTGGGTTAGAAACAAGAAATGTCACAAAAGCAGTTCAAATCTAAAACTGTATTTGAGTGTTAACTAATTATAAATATGTTATAGGTAAATCTGTAATTTCTCATGGAAATACAAATGTACATCAGAATTATGAAAATCAGGACTGTTTCATATATATGTGCATGGTAAAATCACTTTTATTTCATCAAAATGTAAAAACTTTTGTTAGTAATCGTGAAAAGTGGGTTTTCTTTTAAATCTATATAAAAACAAGATTTTAAATTGAAGACTCTATGACTTGCAGTCAGGTTTCCATATTCAACAATTCCAAAGCTGTTAGAAAAAAACTATTGTATATAATGATAAACAAGATGTTATCTGTGTAGTTTGGGGGTACATGGCCAACAGGCTTCAGAACAGAACATAAACAAATAAATGTCTGTTTACAGCAGCAATTTTCATCTTTTTTCATCTCATACTACTTTTAAACTAATTACTAAAATTCTGCAGCATACCAAAAAATGTATTTTTTTTTGCCAATTTGACAAAAAAAAGGTATAATGTTGACTGATTTATTATAATAATAATAGTAATTAACTACCTTTTTTGCTTCAAAGTGACTTTTAAGAAAATCAGATGCCTATACTTGTATATAAGGATGCCTGGTGCCAAGAATTAAGCAATCAGACACAAACTTATACAATTTGACCAATAAATACAACTCTATTATATGACCTATGTATTTATGGTTCAAGATAGGTCATTTACATTGGACAGCCATTGATTGTGCTAGCTGCTGTCATTTTTTCTTTAATGAGGTCGGTGCACTGACTAAATAGTCAGGTATTTAATGTTTTAAAAATTCTTGCAGCACAATGGTTAAAAATTACTGATTTACAGCATTTTTCTTCTTGAAATAATGTATTAAACAGGTAGGTTTCACCCGATGCTAGTGAGGAAAGTAGTGCCCAACTAAGAAAGGAAGGAAGGAAAGAAAGAAAGGAGAGAGGGAGGGAGGGAGGGAGGAAGAAAAAAAAGAGAAAGAAACCAAATCACCTGAGTGTCTGTGTGCTCATGACAACACTAAAATAACATTAGCATTGAGTTAGAACTTCAGCGCTGAGGCCGATACCTCAAAATCCCTGAATAAATAAGAATTAAGTGGAATTATCAAGATCACAGAAAGTAATAGTAAAATCTACTGCTGAAAAAATCAACTTGAGAGCGGGCATCCAAATGTATCCTCTGCTAGCATAAAATTGAGGCTTTCCAGTCAAATTAAGCTGTTTAAAAAAAAAAAAAATGTACAGACTTACAGCTTTTCAACTGAAAAGGACCCGTCAGATCACTCAGTAATTCTCCTTTCTTTAAAGATGAGATAAAGGTGCCTGTTTAGCGAAGGACAGAACAGTTCTGAGAGAAGTCCATTTCCCAGCAGCTCCTATTTGTAAACCAGTGTTTAAACCCAGCAGTGTCTAAACAGTCTGGCTCAGGCCACAGTTTACTTTGAAACTAGGTTCCTTCTGGCCCAAACTCACAGAGAGCCTTGCTGCTCCCTTCCCAGACCTCCATTAGGCCATGGATTCCATCAGTGTCCTCTCTGTAACCACAGAGCGACCTGGCTGCCTGAGAATGCACTGCACTGTTGATTCTAGAACTACCTGTTCGCTCGTCAAGGTACCCTCGCCCCCCACCTCAAATGGTTGTGAATGAACTTGAGACCTGGCAATACATCTTCTACACCTTTGTATCCTCAGTGCCTGGCATCAAGTAGATGTTCAATAAACTTTGTTCGGGCAAAAAAGTGTCCAGCAGAACAGTGCCCAAGGGGTGGGGTGGGGGGAGTGTGTGTGGTGGGGGAAGAGGAGAGAAAATGTACAAAGTTGGGTGGGAACTGTGAGAAGGGTGCAAGGTTACCACTCTGCGCAGTGACCCCTGGCGGTGAAGCTGACCTGGCGGGGGCGGGGCTTATCACTGGTGGATGCCAAGTAGTTCTCTTCTCCGAAATGATAAATGAGTGAGAAGAAGCCGATTTGACACCAGATTCTGCTCAAGTAGGAATCGAATCTTAAAGGTAAACCTAACCTGAGGGTAAAACTAACATAACTTCAACTTTTTAAAAAATTTACATGTTCGAAAAGAGGGTTCACTTATATCGAGGGGGCACCAGCAAGGCTTTCTCCGGAGAGTGGAGCGGAGCCGGGACGTTAAGGAGTCGAGGGAAGTGAGGAGGTGGAAGGCTTGGAGGTCCAGAGATGTGAACCCTGACCGGGCAGCCTGAACCCGTCACCTCCCCGGCGTGGGGAGCCGGCGCGCCCTTCGCATACCTTTCGGGCTCCGGGGCAGAGGAGCCGCGGCGCAGGGTATGCCCAGGGTCCCGCCGGTGAGTGAGACCCCCGGTGGGCAGGCCCACAGGACGCCGAGCTCCAGGACTACCTCTGCCCAAGGATGTTGGGCTCCGTTGCCAGGGAGACGGCGCGGGGCCTGCTGGGAAGTCGGGAGAGGCGGCCGTCCTGTCACCAGGGCGGAAGTGTGCTGGGACTCCAGGGGCGGGGAGAAGGGAGCAGGCCCCGCGGGTCGAGCTTCCCTAACCGGACAGCCGCCATCTCGCAGCGTCCTTCCAGCCCTCCGCGACCTCGCTCCGCAGCCCCTGCCCCGGCGCCGTGCAGCGCGACTGGCCGCGCAGAGCCGGGCGTGACGTCAACCCCGAGACTTCCTGTTCCCGCTGTCAGGTGCTGGGGGGCGGCTTCCGCTGTCAGTATTGCTAGGCGCCTGAGGGCTTCTAATGAGGGGGCTGGGGCTGGGCCTGGGGGGTGCGGGGGACGGAGCTGGGGGCTCTGTTGTTGGTCCCTGTGGCAGGGTTGTGAGGGGCCGGCATGGCGCGGCGTAGAAAGGTCTGTGTTTCAGGACCCAGATCAAACCTGTGCGCCTTCCTCCTGTGCAGCACGAACGTGTCGAACACCTATACAAGGTCCAGTAATTAGGATGAATTGACACGGTCTCTGCTGGCATAAGCTTCACAAGACAGACTTCCAAAGAAATAAGTATTATACAGGCTAAGGTGCTAAGACTAGGGTGAAGTGAGTCAGATGCAAAATGCAAGGGGATGCCCCAAAACTCTGCAATCAAGATACATTTTAATGCAATCTCTTTAAAAATCAAAATTAATGCAAAAAGAAAAGAAAAATCCACGCTTGACAGAATTTCATGCTTTTGTAACAGTACCATGCTGAACCATTTTGGAGCCTAAGGCCAAAGGAAAAACTAGTAATAATGGTCTTGTGATTTAAGTTAGACAGATATTGAAGGATATTGTCATAACTAGGCCAGATAAGCAAAGACAAGAAGATGAAAAGAACCTTTGGTGTGAAACTAGACAGATTCCTCAAGGCATGAAAGCTTTCCTTACTCAAAACTCTGCCAGTTAACATGGGCTCCCAGGCCAATGACTGAAAGTTCCCAGACTTTGATTTTCAAAAAAAGAAAAACTGGATCCATATCATTGACCCTACACACTTTAATTAACTGCAGCCTTATGTTTTCTGATTTATTAATTATGAGATTGAGAAGGATATAACTTTTATGGCTTATTACTTTTTTACTTTTATCCCATAAAACTAATATTTTGTGTTGTAAAATGGTGACTATTACCTAGCTCAATATCAAAGTCCGCAGTTCTATACTAGTGTGTCAGTAATGGACTTTAATTGATTTTCCTCTAGATAATCATCAACAACCTCATTTGTATTCAAACACCACAAAACCATTGAATCGGTGCCTTATAATACATGGGGAAACCAAAGAAAGAATAAAAAAGCTCTCAGCTAGTTGGTCTTGCCTGCGGATCGAGATAAGAATAGGTGCTGATACCTAATATGTTGGATTTAATATGTTTGCTGTTGATTTGAGGTGCTGGAAACAAATGATTTGTAACCAGCATCAATTGAAAGTGTGTTCTATTGTTTTAAACATGCAGTTCTTCAGAAAGTCATCATGGGTGTTCGAGGACTAATGAGTTTTGTGGAAGAGCATAGTAATGAGTTCTTCACTGATTTGAAGTTGCGAGACACAAAAATTGTCATTGATGGCTATTCTCTCTTCCACCGGCTTTGTTTCAACTCAAACTTGGAGCTCCGGTATGGAGGGGACTACGATTCTTTTGCAGATGTTGTACAAAAATTCTTTGAATCATTGTTTTCTTGTAATATATGTCCATATGTTGTATTAGATGGAGGATGTGACATTTCAGATAAAAAGCTTACAACTTTGAAGGATCGAGCTAGAGAGAAGATCCAGGCGGCCCATTCCCTTTCTGTTGGTGGGGGTGGGTGTGTATGTCCCCTACTCATCCGGGAAGTGTTCATACAAGTTTTGATCAAGCTGCGGGTATGTTTTGTCCAGTGCTTTTCAGAAGCCGATCGGGACATTATGACACTGGCTAATCACTGGAATTGCCCCGTGTTATCATCAGATAGTGACTTTTGCATTTTTGATCTGAAAACTGGGTTTTGCCCAATGAACAGCTTTCAGTGGAGAAACGTGAACACTGTTAAGGGCACACAAGACCATTATATCCCAGCCAAATGCTTTTCTCTTGATGCGCTCTGCCGTTACTTCAGCAATATGAATAAAGCTCTATTACCTCTCTTTGCGGTGCTATGTGGAAACGACCATATTAATCTGCCCATCGTGGAGACATTCTTAAGTAAAGTACGTCTTCCTCTTGGAGCTGCCAGTTATAAGGGGAGGAGACACCACCGAGTTCTGGGACTTCTGAATTGGTTGTCTCGTTTTGCTGACCCTACTGAAGCACTAGATAATGTTCTGAAATATCTCCCAAAAAAGGATCGAGAAAATGTTAAGGAACTTCTCTATTGTTCCATGGAAGAATACCAGCAGTCTCAGGTGAAGCTGCAGGACTTCTTCCAGTGTGGTACTTATGCCTGTCCGGAGGCCCTGAATCTGCGCTTACCAGAATGGGTCCTAATGGCTTTGGCCAAAGGTCAGCTATCTCCTTTCATCAGCGATGCTTTGGTGCTAAGACGGACCATTCTTCACACACAGGTGGAAAACATGCAAAAACCAAATGCCCACAGAATCTCTCTGCCCATCCGACAAATCATTTATGGGCTTCTTTTGAATATTTCTTCACATCTGGAAAACATGTCCTTAAATGCATCTCCTCTTCAGCCTCTAGCTTTCAGTGAAGTAGAAAGGATTAATAGAAATATCAAAACATCGATTGTTGATGCAGTAGAACTGCCCAAGGATCTTTCTGACTTAAGCAAATTGACTGAGGTAAGTGTTTGTAATACTAATGTAATTTTTGTAATGCACTTTACAGGTTACAAAGTGCTTTCATGTGTATTATCTCTCTTAATACAACACACTGAGGTTGGTTGCCGTACTGCCCCCATTTCATAGCCGAGAAAACCAGGGCTCAAAGAGGTAACTATGTAATTCCTCAGCCAGGGAATATCAGTGCCAGACTCACATCTAGATCTTTTAGCTCCAAATCTGCCATTGCACTGTACTTCAGTAGTCTGTGTTATCTCTGTAATGATTACTACTACTCTGTTGTTACTATCAATACAATGGAGTTATGTGGCTAACAAACAACAAAAAAAAGGAACAGGAAAAAAAAATCTGAGCTACAAAAAAAAAAAGTGTGCCTGAAGGCACTGACCATAGACATAACTAACATATCAGCCTGCATTATATTTTAATTAATAAGATTAATACTGCCCGGCCAGTGTGGCTCAATGGTTGAGTGTAGACCCATACACCAAGAGGTCACCGGTTTGATTCCTAGTCAGGGCACATGCCAGGTTGTGAGCCTGATCCCCAGTGGGGGGCATGCAGGAGACGGTCAGTCGATGTTCTCTCTCATCAGTGTTTCTCTCTCTCCCTCTCCCTTCCTCTCTCTCTAAAATCAATAGAGAAAAAAAAAAAATTAAAAAAAAAAAAAAAAAAAAAACCAAGGTTAATACTGATGCTTGGTTTAATTTTTCATTTTTATTGATGAACTTTTTTAGGTTTTTGATTTATGGCATCATAGTGATTTGCTTAGTTTGATCATGAAAACATGACTTTTAACCTAAGTAAGTGTTGCTTAAACCTGAGTAACACACAGACCAGTCCCCTTTCCAAGGTGAAAAAAAATTCTTACTGATCCCAGTGTTCACTTTCTTTTTCATATTACATAAATATATTAAAAATCACAAACAGATATGAAACTGCTTATGCTAACACAATTAAATTTACAAATTAAATGCAGATAAATCTACAATACCAATTTCAGTGCCCATTGCGGTTTTCCTTAGATACAGCCACATATTCAGGTTCACAAGCTTCTCACAGGCCACTGATGGTGCCAGTCTACTCAAAGATGTAGGACAGCAACCGAGGCTCCCCAGCAGGTTTGAATCAGGCTTTCTTCGTCTTCTCTGAGATCTTGAAGCATTCTACACCATTGGTTCTCCACTGGGGATCACTGCCTCCCCCCCAGGGGACATTTGGCAATGTCTGGAGACACTTGATCATCACTACCTGGGGAAGGGGGTGGTCAGGGGTTAGAGGGAAGAAAGTGTTGCTACTGGCATCTAGTGAGTAGAGGCCAGGGATGTTGCTAAACATCTTAATACACAGGACAGTCCCCTACAACAAAGAAGTATCTGGCCCATAATGTCCGTAGTGCCAACCCCTGGCCTACACAGCCTCCCATTATTGACAGCTCAGGCAGGAGGAAACAAGAATCATATCAGGTAGGTACAAAAGCCTCCTTGGCAATGGGGAATGACTGCTAATGGGAACAGGGTTTCTTTATTGGGTGATGAAATGTTCTTGAATTAGTGATGGTTGCACAAGCTTATAAATACACAAAAACCACTTTAAACTGATGAATTTTATGACATGAATGATCTCAATTAAAGAAAAGTCTCACTGGCCTCCTTCCCCACAGGATCCAACCTTTCTTGTAACAATTCCATAGACATTGCTTCCAAGGTCCCTGCAAGGAACATGCTTAATTACAAGTCACTGTACTCAGGGAAGCCCCATGACATGGTGTCCCCATCTGGTATTTACATTTATTTATACTTCAAGTCTAGATGCAGTTTTACAAGAGTCATTTTTATCATGCTAAGAAACACAGCTCACTTGGTCACATTTCCAGTGTTACCGAACTAGAAAGTTGAACATAGGTCAATTTCCAAACAAGATATTTATTAAAACTTTATCCACACCAATAAAATTTAAATTAGCCACATTCTAAAGGATGATGTTTTGCTGAAATTACATTTCTACTCATAAATGGTGCTGTGTTGGAGAGTTTTTTTAAAAACTTTTTTATGGCTTTGTTGAGAAATAATTGGTGTACAATGAACTGCCTGTATTTAAAGTGTATACTTTTGTGAATTTTGATGTTTTCATCTGTGAATACATCCTGTAATTAAAATAATGAATGTATCCATCACCCTTAAAACCTTCCTCTCGCCTCTTTGCAATTGAGCCCTTCCAGAGCTTGCACATAAAGCAGAGTGCATAGATAATTGTACAGCTTGATGAATTTTCACCAACTCCACACTTCCATGTAAAGAACATCCAGATGAAGACTCATTATCAGCATCTCAGTAGCTTTCCCAAGTGTCTGGTTTTGTCACCCCCTTTCTTACTCTCTCTAATCACTATTCTTATCTCTAACAATATTGAGTAGTTTTGACTGTTTCTATACTTTATAAAAATGGAATCATACAGTATGAATTCTTTCATCTGGCTTCTTATATTTAACACAATGTTTGTGAGATTTATTTATATTGCTGTGAGTAGTTGTAGAAAATTTATTTTTCTCTGCTGTATTACAGTTTGGGAAAATACCAATTTTGGTTTTTCCATTTTATAGCTGATGGGCATCTGGGTAGTTTTCAGTTTGGGCTATTACAAATACTGCTATGAACATTCCAGTGCACATCATCTGGTGAAGATATGGACACATTTCCATTACATACATCACTAGGAGCGGAATTGCTGGGTTATAGGATACATGTGTGTTCAGCTTGGAAGATATAGGCCTAATGGTCTTATAAAGTGGTTTTACGAATTAATATTCCTACCAGCAAGCTTAAGAGAGTTATTCTCACTCTACACCCTTGCTGATAACTGGTATTTTCTATCCTTTTTAAAACTTTTAATTATTTTGGTATTTGATATCATTGTAGTCAATTTTAGTGGGTATTAATTTGCATTTCTCTGATGACTTATTTGGGCACCTTTTCATGTGTTCACTGGCCATTTGGACATTGTTATGTAAGTTTCTGATCAAAGTCCTTTGCCCATTTTTGAAAAAAATTTTTATATATATACAGGTCCTGTGGTGAATAACTTTTCCCATTCTGTGGATTGTCTTTTAACTCTAGTATGTTTTGATGAACAAAAATTCTTAATATAGACTAAATTTTTATTACTTGTGTTATTACTTTTGTGACTTAAGAAATTACTGTCTTCTTCAAGGTCATGAAAATATTTTCTTTGCCTTTCATATTTAGATCTGCAAGCTATCTAGAATTGATTTGTTTCTATATAGTGTGACATAGGGATCAGGACACTTTTCCCCCATATGAACATCCAGTTGTGTCAATGAGTATCAGAGGCTGATTATACTCCTTGCTAAATGGAGATGACAAGCGTTGTCATCACTTAACTGTGTTCAAAGTAAGGTGAAATTTTATTCTACTGTCTATGCAATGATATGATTTGTCCTTTCCTTGGCATACGCCATCAATTCTGTATTTAGCTCAATGTTGTTAGCTCTAATTAGCCTGTGATAATTCTAAATGGTATCAAGCACAAATGTGATTCCAGAGACAAATGCAGGTACAGGTATAGGAACTCAGTGATAGTTTCTATTTGTTTTGTTTTTCTTAACATAATGTGGTAGTAATACTTTATCTGCTTTGTGCCAACTGTTGTGATAGAAACTTTATAGTCTCATTTAATTCCCACAGTAACCACATAGGATAGTGTTTCCATTTTGGTTATGTTAGTTGCAGTGGACAGAGTGCCACTCAAGTTAACCACCAAGAGGATAATCATAAGGAGAAATGGAAGTGGGTCATTCTTGGGGAGTAAGGCTGTGTCACGACCAGCCTCTCTGGGCACCTCTGCCTCTCTGTGGCAGCTTCTTCTGCAGTCTTATGCTTTCCCTTCCCCTGGGAGTTGTCACATGGGATAAAACCCAACCAGATTTAAGGACTGACAGCAGAGTAGTTCCCCTTTTGGAAGGGGCTAAAAACTGGTGGGTTCCATGGGACATTCTGTGTAACTCATTATAATGCCCATTTTACTGACTATAGAAAAGCTCAGGAACTTACCCAAGGCCATAGTGAAGGACAGAACATCTCTGAAGTCAAGCTCAGACTCTGCTCTGTTCATAAGTTGTAACTTGGCTAGAGAATTCAGTAATTTAAGCATTATATGTCAGTAAAGAACTCGTGTATTTTTTTAGCCTTTAGTTGGTGTGTTTTTCAACCAGTTTAGATTATCAATATTAGTTTTTGTTTTACTTTAACTAGTTAACACTACTTCCCATAGGGGGGGGTTGATTATACTGTAAAGCACTTTACATAATTATAAAATTTTTTATCACAGTATTAAAACCAGTACTTATAAATCACTGATTTAATGCTGTCATACGCTGATGATGAAACTATTTTATCAATTATGAGTGTTTTATTTCAGGTTATCACCTTATTCTCAGCTGTCAGTACACTTATTGACCACTAATTAGGTGTTTGGTGCTGAGAAATGTGTCAGACTGTCTCATTCTTTCAAAAAGTTAAGAAAGAAGTCCTTTTCTGGCTGCATGCAGACACTAGGATTACAACTATATTTTTCTCTTAAAGTTTAATTATAAAGTCTCCCTGAAGGTGCCTTTTTAATAGTCCTAATTTCCTCATCTGTAAAACTATGTGACCTGTAAGGTCCCTGATGGTTCTTAAGCTTAAAATTCATTCAGGTAGCCTTGGCTGGGTGGCTCAAGTTGGTTGGAGTGACATCCTATGCACCAAAGTCACCAGTTCCATTGCTGGTCAGGACACACACCCAGGTTGCAGGTTTGATCCCTGGTTGAGGTGTGTACCAAAGGCAACCAATCAATGTTTCTCACATAGATGTTTCTTTCTCCCTCTCCTTCCTCTCTCTTAAAAAAAAATTCAACAAAAATGTATTTTTAAAAAAATTATTAAGGTAAAATTATTTCAATGCGTAGCCTGAAGCCCTCATAGCTATTCACTTCCTTTTATTTGAAGTTCACTCTAAAACATGGAGTAAAAGTGAGTATGGTGTGTTACTGCAAGCACAATGCAGATAGTACTTAAATATTCCTCTCCCTTGATTATACCTCTCGCCTACAAGCAGCCACCCTGGGATAATCCCTGCGTAGAACACAAAGACAGTAACACATTCAACTGGGAACAGACATGAGACAGGACCCCCAAAACTAGAATACTATGATATGCCAAAGTTTCTTCTGGTGACCAGTAATGGCTTCATGGAGAAGGTGAGGCCTAAATATTCACTGCCAAGTAAGGGACTGGTTGAGTATATAGATCATTGTTTCTCAAAGCAGAATAGTAAAAATGTAGGTTCCTGTGCTCCCTCAGATTTACTGAATCAAACTTTAGGGGGTTGGGCCTGAGAACTAAATTTTCAACAAGTGTCCCAAGTAACACGTGCACTGAAGATGCTAACCAGCCTACTTGGAGGATGAAATGACATGGGCAAGAGCTGTGTAGCAGGAGTAGACAGTATATCCATTCAGTCAACCTTATTTATTAAACACCTTATTAATAGTCTAAATGCTTTGAATGTGGCTGATTTTTTACACAGGAAGTTAAGAAACTGACACAGCAATGTCATTCACATTAAAGTCTCTTCGTACTATAGGGGGAAAACATTCCCCAAAGTAACTTGAAAGGTGTTTGGTATGTATTTGCAGCTCTCCTTGGCTAGACGGCAGATGCTTCTGTTAGAAACGCTAAAGGTGAAACAGACCATCCTGGACCCAATCCCCACTTCTTTGAAGTTGCCCATTGCTGTCAGTTGCTACTGGTTGCAGCACATGGAGCCCAAGGCAAAACTACATCACCTACAAGCCTTGCTGCTGGGGATGCTGCTGGGGCCCTTGCATGCCATAATCAACAGCCCTGGTAGGTGTCTGGAAATGTCAGAAGTATACTTTTACATGTTACTTACCTATAATAAAGTTTAAAGAAACAAAAAAAAATTCTTTGATTACTATCAGTTATTCAGAACTTAGAAACGGAGACACCAATGTATCACTCATTTACTGGTAAATATTTTTGAGCACTTCTGTGTGTCGGGCTCAGTGCTAGAGGGTTTGACGTCAAGGGCACAGCAGTAAAAAATGTACTGATACTGCCTAATCCCATGTGCTCAGTGGCACCTCACGCTTTAACCTCTGAAGGTGACAGTGTGATATATCAGTTGCATTTTGTAGTCTACCTTTTCTGTTCCTTCCTGTCCCTATCATCAATATAGCAGCAATATCATTAGAAACTTATGTAAAATTACCCATTGGTGAAACTTCTGAATACCTACTACAATAAACATTCATGCTTGTACTGTTTTTTTACTTTCCTTTTTCTCCACTAAGTTTTGATTAGTATGTTAAGTAGTGATGGTAGAAGTAGTAACTTCTCTTTCTATTGGAAAAATATACTTTGAGGCAATTTCATTTGCATTTAAATATCAAGTGAAATAAATGTTGATGCACTGGAACACTTCAATTCTCTAATAGAATTATTCTCTTTAAAGATTATGAATGCTGTAACACTTTATGTAAATATGTATAATAGTTAACACCCTCTAGAGCAGTACCATCCAATATGATAGCTACTAGCTACACGTAGCTAGAGGACAGCACCAATACAGAACATTTCCATCACTGCAGAAATTTCTACTGGCTTGTGGTACTCTGAAGTTAGCTTATTAAAATAAATTAAATGAAGCAGGGAACAGACCGAGGAACCTCAGAGAGAAGGGAGAAGACAGGAAGAACTTATATACATAACCAATGCACACAGACAATAGTGTCGTAAGGTGGGACGAGGGGTCAGTGGGGGTATAACGAGAAAACATCTGTAATACTTTCAACAATAAAAATAAATTTTTTTAAAAAGTTAAATGAAATAATGAATCAGCACAGACTCCAAGAAAGCCCAAGTATGAGAGTAGCTTTCAGAAGGGACTGTAGTTATATAACAGACAACTTAATACAGAACAAATAAGGCCCACTAATGGTTAAGACACAAGTTTAGGCTATTTCCTCTCATTGAGTAATAATTATAGTTTATGAAAATTCTCAGAGCACACGCCTATTAAGTTTTTACCTGAGTCCAACAGAAGGGGCATGTCAAGGGTCTGTTTCTCTTTTTTATTAAAGAATGATGGGCACGGCACCAGGGCAGGCTCAGTGCTTTGCTGCTCGATAATTGGTAAAAGGTGGGCCTCCTTTTTATTACCTTCAGGTTGGTCCGGATGTCATTGTGTGTGCCCAGAACCAAATAAACCTGCAAACGCGTATAGCTGAACACACAGCATTCTTCATTTCCTAGGGTTGTTGCTTCTTGCCCTTATTCTCTATGTGAAGAAGTGATGGATGACCTGCCATATTCTCTGAGTCATGCTTCTGTTTTCCTCCCATAAACAGAAGTTTAAATGCGCTTTGAACATGTGGGCTGTTTCTTTAAGTGCACTATAGCACGGAGATCTCCATGAAAGGAAGTTTGGTGGAAGAGAATAAACTGAATGATATTTAATAGTAATTTATATTTTTCAAAGACAGATTTAGGGTTTGGAGAATTTGATTGCAGGTATGTTTAAGGTCAGGTAGTAGATGAATGGGAGAGATTACTTTAAGGAAAAAATAATTTGGGGTTAAATTAAGTTAGATTGTTATTAAAAAGGCATTTCAGTATAACATTTCAATTTATACAGCAAGGCTTTTACATTGGTATTAAAATAGTAAAGAGCCAGCAAAGAAAAGCATTTTGGTTATTTAAACCAATTTTTTCATTATGAAATTTGAAGTTTTATATATGGAGAAAATTCCAAGATGATACTGTGTTTTGTGAACTACTGCCCTTGGGTTGTTTCTTTATCTAGATAAGGAAGACCTGCGGGAAGATGGTGCTAAGATGTTGTGCGAAGAGTTCCAAAGAGTGAAGGAACAGACGCCGCCCGGCACGAGACTGGATTTAGACACGGCTCACGTCTTCTGTCAGTGGCAGTGCTGTCTGCAGATGGGGCTGTACCTCAATCAGCTGCTGTCCACGCCTCTCCCAGAGCCAGACCTAACTCGGTGAGCACCAAGGGAAACTAGTTCAGATGGCTGCACACACAAGCAAATACTTTTATTTATATTTAAAGCAAAGAAGTTATTTTTTTCAAATTAATCTTAGTGTAATTGGTTTTGGAACACTATTATAGCTAAAGAGCTGGGAACAAGAAAAATATTAAATTATTTCCATATTCCCAAAGAAAATCTCCATTATTAGATCAAATTTTTAAAAATCAGTTCCAAAGTAAAAGTAAAAAGAAGAGAGGCAGTTGTTGGTAGGATATAATTTGTTCCTTCACGTCTTTAAAATCTGTTCCAATATCACTTCATAAAATCTTTTTCTGATCACTCTACTGAAATAGTCCTCTTTACTTCCAGTTACTCTAGTCCTATTACTCTTGTATTTCATAACTGCATGTCTTACCATTTGGCATACTGTTCGCTATTCATCCAAATATTTATTAAATGCCTACTCTGGTCTATGTTATAATGAACATCAAAAAAAAAAAATCTCTGCTGTTTTATTCTAGTGAGATGACTATTAGATGTGCAAGTGGACTTCATCTAAAGTTTTTGTTTTTGCCAGGCAAGTAGAAAGGGAGAGGCAGCCTGTATGCCAGGAAGTGATTATGTTTGATTATGAAGTTTAAGCTGGGTAAGAAAGAAATGATAGTGGTATGTGGGCTAGTGAAAAAGTGGTAGGATCAATGTATTAGACATCCTGGTGATTGTCCATCCAGGACGTACTAGGAGTGAAGATAAAAGGGAGATGGTTAGAAAATAGAGTTGAGATTGTATATATGCTTTGTCTCTCTCCACTTGAATAAAAACTCTATGAGGGCAAGGACTTGTCTATTTTATGTACTGTTGTAGGTAGCTCCAGTGCTTAGCATACTGTAAGTACACAAATATTTGTTGAGTGAGTGAGTGATATATGGAGACATGCAAAATATGCTGGTTTGACTTTAAATGTTTCAAGGTGAAAAGCTTTGTAGCAGTAAATAGTGTTGTTAGTATGTCTCTGGGCCTCATATGTGAGCTACCCCTAGAACCCTTTACCAAGTAAAATTAATTGGCCTTAGACCTATGGATACTTTATTTCTGTCCTTTAATAATTTAGGTCACTCTTGACTGGATCCTCTCTAGTTACCAGAAATCCCTTTAAAACAAAATGGGATAAACAAGACCAAAAAGTTATCTTAATGATTTCAGTAGGAGGACTGTTTTTGCACCTCAACTCTACTAATTTAAGGTTTTTTAAATGGTGATTTTACACTGCTTCAGTGATGGTTCTACATCAATTGCTAAGGCACCAGTTGATCAACCCTGGCAGTAAGTTACATATTAACTTTGTGGCTTCCAGTTAATCCCACCTTATATTTACGAAGTAGGTTTTTAGTCCAAAGTGAATGATGACCTTGCAAATGATGCCATTAAATTTTCTCTTATTTCAACAGTCTACCTGTTTGATTATCAAAGGCTTATTTTAATTCTTTTTTTTTTTTTAAGTGTTAAGAGGCCTGCTCAACTTCGGACTAGTTGTAGAGCCAGCAAGCATCCATCATTGAATCTAATGTTAAAAATGTCACCAGCCAAGAAGTAATTTTTTAAATAACAACTCAGTTCCTTCCTTCAAGGAACAGAGTATTCTTAAGTAATTTTAATAATAACTTTGCCCTGGCCAGTTTGGCTCAGCAGTTAGAGCATCGGCTCTCAGACCAAAGGGTCCCGGGTTCGACTGCACCTGTCTCGGTTGCAGGGTCATTCTCCGGTCCCAGCTGGGGTCCTGAGGGAGGCAACCAATCAATGTCTCTCTCTCACATTGATGTTTCTCTCTCTTTCCCTCCCTCCCTTCTATCCTGTCTAAAAATCAATGGAAAAATATCCTCCAGTGAGGATTAAACATAATAATAATGATAATAATCATTTTATGGAAGAAGAGCTCTCAGTGTTTAGATGCATTTGTTGAAGCCATGTTAATGATGGTTGTCCCTGTGACTGAACCTCTCTCTCTCCCCTGTTGAATAGACTGTATAGTGGAAGCCTAGTGCACGGACTATGCCGACAACTGCTACTATCAACCTCCGTAGAAAGTCTCCTCAGCATGTGTCCTGAGGCAAAGCAACTTTATGAACACCTGTTCAATGCCACAAGGTCATATGCTCCTGCTGAATTATTCCTACCAAGGAGTAAATCAAATTCAAAAAAAAAAAGGCAAAAGAAACAAGGTACCAGATGGTCAAAGAACTGTGTGGGAACCATCTCAGACAATAGATGTTGGTATGAGGGAAGCAATCGGTTTGGGCTATTAATGGTTGAAAACATGGAGGATCATATTGAGGCCTCAAAGTTTGAATAAACTCAGTCTGCAACCAGATGTAAAATTCTTACTTAAATTTTTTCTGTTATCTGCCTTGAAATGAGTAACTTTTTTCTTTAGAACCTGTTAGGGGATAAACACTGCATTAGGTAATCTTTGAATTCCAAGGTATTTTATATTCTGCTTTTAATAAATACAACCTGAATTAAGAAACTTCTGTATTCCTTACATGTATCTGAAAGCATATTTGTGCTTCTCACATTCCATTTCAATAAGTTAATAATAATAGTCTATAACCTTTAAATTGCAAGTCCTACCTCAATTATTTCCTATAAGCAAAAGCTGGGTTATTATTTCCAAAAAAAGTTTTTTACAACTGTTTCCTCTTCATGGGCCTTGGAAAACAGAAGTTAGGATGCCAGACTGAAAACGATATACCTTTAAGTACTTAGTAAATGAGACTATGGCCGGGTTGGTGAGCATTTTAGATATGCTCCAGGTTCTAAAACGGAGATTGAAATCCAAATGGCCCCAACAAAATAGGAAACAGCATCCTGATCTAGAGAAGGAGGAGGAAAGACTAAGAAATTATGCAGCAATACCAGATCTATTATTATGTTAGGAAGAGTGTATGGGGCTCCTTAGTAAGGGTGTTTTTAATGTCTCTAAAGAAATGGTTATTCCCAGAAGAATCAAGAAAAGAGCAGTCATATGCATGTATTTTTTAGAAGATATGTATTTTTCCAGCAAATAGTGGATCTGATGTGGACTAGAAGCACATAAGACCTTGTCATATTAAAAAAAAAAAACAAAAACTCTTTTCCTTGAATTCCTAGAATTGGGGGCCAAGTGGAAAATATACCAATATAAGTGTCCTGGCTTATCAACACTGCTTTTAAAAACCACCATCTCTGGATGGAAAACCACTCATTCCCCTTTCGGTAAATGACTGATTTCACAGGCACTAAAATGAAGAGTGTATAGGCAACAGAGTTTACTTAAAAGTCAACTGAATTATATCAGCCATCTTTTTCTTTCATTAAAAGAAGTTTTCAAAAAAGGGGCCCTCCTTCAGTAGATTAAGCAGTCAGGTTCCCTTCTCTAACCATTTCAATCAGAGCCATTTACTTGAAATTACCCACCTTTGCCGTAGTTAAAATCTAATAATGTCCATTAACTCTTACTCTGTAAGCATTTAGGAAAGTTACCTACCCAGTGTGGATCTTCTGTTTATATTAAATGAAAGGTCATAAGCACTCCACAAGATATTGGAGGGGGGTTACCAAAGAAATAATGACATAGTAGCTGACCTCCAGGAGACATAAACTGCTTGGAGAAACACAATGAAATAAGAGAACATTTTATGATGCAATCTGTCAGGTACAAAATGGCAAGGCCCAGTCCGAATGCTACGAGACAGCGGTCAGCAGATGAGGCAAGAAGATATTCTCAGACCTGGCTTTTGTGCTTGGCTTTAAGACACAGGAAAGTAATTCCGATGAGGTATAGGAGGCAATGGGAGCACCTGTGTTGAAGCAGAATGTTATATGTTCCATATTCCATTTGTAAAATCTGTTTCCTATGTTTTTAATCAAATCTTTAAGTCTTGCTCTTTCTGATTGACTTCTAACTAGTGAAATTTCACCTGAGGCTTTGGAAATGTGTGTCTTCAATAAGGAGGTTAAGTGACAAAAGGAACTCTGGACAACTAAAATGAATACATTTGAGAGAGAAAAGAGAGAGAGAAACACTGTAATGCAATCATGTTCTGTGTTTAGTTGTGATAAAATTATATGTGACTTTATTTCTATCAGCCCTTTTAGAGATACCTGGACCTAGGAAGTTTAGTATATATATCCTACAAATATACTCTAAAAGCCTTTCATGATAATCGACCATGAGAAAGAGTTCAAATTAATTATAACTTTAGAAAATAAAGACCTCTGTAGCGAGAAAGATCTTAGAACCTTTTCCTCCTTTGTGCATAAAATAATGAATCTATGATTATACCTGTTACTGTCTGTAAAATGGATCAGAATAGTTCAAATTATTGTCTAAGAATAAAAGAATATGTACTTTTAAGTTACATAGCACAGTGCCTGGTACTAAAAACATGCAATAAATGATAGCCATTATTGTTACATCCATACATGAAAACCAAGAGCAAAGGGATCTGGGAAAAGGTGATATATCGAGTGCTGAGCAGGAAAATCAAGGCACCATGAGACCAGTGGTTTGCCAGACCTAATAACAATTTGGCAGATGCAAAGGAGGTCAACACTATCAACTATGCCTAAGATGAGAAAGACAAGAACATGAGAATGTTGAAGCAACTTCAGCAGAGCTATTAGGCTGAAGCTATACTGCAAAGAGCAGAGAAATGCCAAGAGAAATGTGAATAGGTTCAGCCAAGCTCAACCTCAGCATAGAATGAAAAAGCACCAGAAGGAACTATCACTAATTAAGTACTTGTGCCCTTTTGTCTTATCAAGGAATTTTCTGTAGGGTTTTTAAACCGAATTTGAAAAAGCCCTGGTTTAAAAGTAGGAAACAATTAAGAGCAGATCTTACCACTTCTTGGAAACTCCCTCTTCCTATAACTGCCAGGGTTATTTCCTGGCCCTACCCAATAACCCTAAGGAGGCCAAACCCAGTTTCCCCCCTTAGGTTTCCAGAGTTAATGGGTGCTGCTCTGAAGCACATGCTGTTTGGCTAGTTGGCACAGCATGAACCAAGAGCAGCTTCTGGAACATAAGTACCCCTAAGACCAGGCAGGAGAAATAATTTCACTTCCGTAAAAGGACAAACTCTCACTAGTACCTACTCTCAACACAGTGACCTTAGCACTTTTAGTGAGGTGGATGTGGGTGGGGTACTTGGTATTTATCTCATAATGTCTTTTGTTGATGTAGTTCAGTCAAGGCAACTGAAAATGATTTTGCATCTTATACCAATTTGAAATCGAATATTTATTTTGGATAGATGTATTAAAAAGATGCCACCCACCCTGGTCGGTTTGGCGCAGTGGTTGTTGTTGTTAATACTCACCCAAAGATATTTTTCCATTGATTTTTAGAGACTGGGAGGGAGGGAGGGAGGGAGGGAGGGAGGGAGGGAGGGAAGGAGAGAGAGGGAGAGAGAGAGAGAGAGAGAGAAAGAGAGAGAAACATTGATGAGAGAGATAACATCGATTGGTTGCATCCTACATGACCTGGACCAGGGCTAGGGATTGAACCTGCAACCCAGGTACATGCCCTTGACTTGGAATCAAACCCAAGACCCTTTGGTCTGTGGGCCAACACTTTTTTTTTCCTTTATTCATTTTAGAGAGGAAGTGATAAGGGGGAGACAGAGAGAAACATCGATGAGAGACAACATCAATTGGCCGCCTCCTGCGTGCCCCCCACTGGGGATCGGGCCCACAACCTGGGCATGTGTCCTGACTGGGAATCAAACCGGCGACCTCTTGGTGCATGGGTTGATGCTGAACCACTAAGCCACACCGTGTGGGCCAACACTCTTAACTGCTGAGCCAAACCGGCCAGGGCAACATTTTTTTGAGTAAATACATATTAATATTACTCTTAAAAATAGGGTTTGTGGATGTGCCAGAGAGAACTCCTATACATTAATGCTAAAACTGCTACAGTAATCAGCATTTATGCCTTCATTAAAATACTGGCAGGAACCCTCTGTTTTCCAATATCCTATTCAGTCAACTAGGATGGGGTCTAGTTGAAAAGTGGGAGAATCAGGGGTTCTGCTGTGGCTATGCTAAGACATTACCTTTTAGGTGCATAAGTGAAGACATCTGCTGGGCAACTGGATATATGTCTGGAGCCTAGGTGTCTTTGGGGTTTGAGATAGTGAAATGTTTTCCTCTTCTCTATTTACAAATATCTCCAATAAGTATATTATACTATTATAGTCAGAAATGCTTGTAATAACTGAAGTTTCAAGGAAGGATAGCATCAAGAGAGAAAGCTTCTGCCCTGGCCAGTTTGACTCAACGGTTAGAGTGTCGGCCCGCAGACCAGAGAGTCCTGGGTTCGGTTCCCACTCAGGGCACATACTTCACTTGCAGTCTTTCCCCGGCACTGGTTGTTGTGTGGGTAGCAACCACTTGATGTCTCTCTCTCATGTCGATGTTTCTCTCTCTCTTCCCCCTCTCTCCCTCCCACTCTATCTGAAGATAAATGCAAAAATGTCCTCGGGTGAGGATAAAAAAAAAAAAAAAAGAGCAAGCTTCTGATGTTCCCTTGTCTTGTCCCAGGAAACTATGGAAAACAAGAGGTAAAAATGGTGGGTTAGGTGGGGCTTTGGGTGTTGAAATTTGGGAATGGTGACATCTACAAACCCAAGTTTCCAAAAATAAAGTACTAAAGCCCCTCAAATTTCCATATTTATGTAAGTTGTTTTTTAAAGACAAACTAATGAAACTGACCCTATTATAATGTATTTTGTAAAGTAATGTCAGACCCACAAGGGTGGACTGTATGAGAAATTCACTAAGAAAAACTGTCACTTTGGCTGATTTGGCTCAGTGTCTAGAGCATCGACCCACAGACCAAAGCATCACAGGTTTGATTCACAGACAAGGGCTCGTGCCTAGGTTGCAGGTTCCATCCCTGGTCGGGGTCATGTGGGAGGCAACCAACTGATGTGTCTCTCACATTAGTGTCTCTCTCTCTCTCTCCCCACCCCCTCACTCTAAATAACTAATGGAAAAATATCCTTGGATGAGGAGTAACAAAAAGAAAAATTCATAACTTTTTAGAAATATGATAAATACAAGACAAATGTGTTTTGATTTAGAACATTCTATTCCTAAAAAGTGAGTTAGAGGTTGTATTTTCCACTAAGACTGGGCTGATAGGAAATTTTGGGTTTTACTATTACTAAATTACGTCTTCCCTAAGCAAGATGTTCTGAGACTAAGACTCTGATTCCTCCACACAGGAGCCTTGTTGGAAACTCAGAAGAGTAACTGATATCAAATCTGGTATCAAGTACATCCATCCCAAAAAGAACATCCTGTTGGGAGACTGGAGGGAGATAAAATGACCCACTGGATGCAATGAATAGGCCTATTTTCCTCTTTTTTAATATATGAGTAGGCAACCTTTCCTGTAAAGAGCCAGAAAGTCAATTATTTAAGATTTAGTGGGCCACATGGTCTCTGCTGCAACACCTCAACAGTTATAACATGAAAG